TTGCAATTTTCCATTTATAATGAGGATATCACATATTTATTCAGCTATATTTCTTCATTTTTTTGAAAAAAAATTATTGTTATTTTCTACTAACAAAACTAACAAAAAGAAACTAAAAAATCCTCAATCATCAAAAACATCAGACCTAATGGGTCAGCCCCCCAAACTTTTTCTTTTTATGATAATCCATAAACATATTTAAATCTATGCATAGTCCCGTTTCTTTAGCCAATAATAAAAGGAATTCCAAGTTTGATAGACATCTGTATCTTCTTTCTCCTTCAGAGACAAAATTTCTTTATTTGTTTTATATCATCCTTTCTATGCAAAAATGGCATTCAACACAGATTAATACTTATACAGCATATCACATTTTCATGTCTATAGAGGAGGATCCCAGGATTCAACACTGGCAATACTCCTTCCTAGTCTTTAAGCCCTTCCATCCAGTTCCTGGTGGGGAAGAACTGAGATCTCTAAGGCCTGAAGGAAATGGATTGTGCATCTTCTCAGTGGCCAACCACACACACAGTATGTTGCAAGGATGTGTTCTGCTATTGAAGAGCGGTGCTCAAGTATGGCCTTGCAGATCCCTAGCACAAATGAAACCATTTTATGACATTGTAAAGGGCTTGCTTTCAGTTACCAGAGATCTAACTGTATATCCAATGCTCACTGAGCTTTGAAACCTTACATAATTGGTGTAGCATAGATCTTGTACACCTTACTTGTTTCCTCTCTCTTTCCTGCCACTTATTATTGCATTTGTGCCTTTGAATATGGTCCTCAAAGCTTCCCGCACCTCTGTGTTTCTAAGTGTAAAAATGAATGGATTTAACAAAGGGGTGACAATAGTATTCAATATGGTGACTATTTTGGTCAGCCCCAATGACTGCTGTTTAGATGAGGTGACATGAAGGAAAATAGTGGAACCATACCATATAATCACCACTGTGAGGTGCGAAGAACAAGTGGAAAAAGCTCGCTGACGGCCTTGAGTTGATGCAATCCTTAAAACTTTGCTGATTAGACAGATATAGGAGATGAGGGTTATTACACATGAGCCGATGATGACAATGAAAGCAATTACAAACCATACTGCTGCAAGCATGTAAGTGTCAGTATATGAAAGGACTATCCAAGGCACAATATCACAAAAGAAATGGTTGATAACATTGGAGTCACAGAAGGACAATTGGTTAATAAGGAAAGCTGGCAAAAAAATAACCAGAAAGCCACAGATCCAAGAGCCCAATGCCATCTGCACTGATGACATTTTGGACATGATAGTGTTATAGTGCAATGGGTGGCAGATAGCGAAATAGCAGTCATAAGCCATGACAGCAAGCAGAAAATACTCTATACGTCCCATGGAAAAAACAATATACATCTGTGTGATGCAGCCTAGGAAGGAGATCTTCTGGTGCCTCTGTGACACCAGGATTGCTAAAGTCTTGGGGATACATGCTGTAGTGTACCATATTTCCAGGAAGGAAAGATTGCAGAGGAAGAAGTACATGGGTGTATGAAGCTGTTGTCTGGCCTGCACTAAAGCTATGATGGCCACATTTCCAGTGATTGTCAGGATGTACATAGAACAGAAGAGCATGAAAAGGGAAGTACGCAGCTCCAGAGTCCCAGGAAATCCCACAAGGATAAATTCCTTCACACTGGATCCGTTTCTTCCTTGTTTGAGGCTCATGAGCTTTGCCCGTTGATGATATCAGTCATGAAAACCCACTGATCAGTTTTTTTAAGTGACCTGTTACTTGAGAACATTAAGAGATGAGAAAATGCTTACGATCAACTAAACAAGTTTAGTACAGGAACAGAAGACTGGAACTTTTATCAGGTGATAATGTTGATCCATTTTTATGCAGCACTTCACAGGATCTCAGGTACATGATTCAAATATGTCACTGAAGTACTTATTCCAATATCTTGATATAGGAGGCTGTTTCCTTCCACACCCAGTTCTTTAAAACCTCAATTTCTTTCTCTTGCATCAAAAATGTTAGTAAATTGTTTCAAAAAATCATATATAATGAAATTCACACCCGTCTGTACCTGCCAAGTTCAATCAATGCAGCTATTCCTAGCATGGGAAAGACATTACTGAACCAGTCTGCCATGTAGCAGTTAAAGATGAGGAGCAAGGCTGGGCAGGGCAGGGTCGGGCATGGCCAGAAGTGGTCACCCTTATTCAGCAACACAGACATAGGTGAACACCCTAGGATTCAGAAACATTTTTTTTAAGCTAAGTATTCTGACCAATGTGATTGATTGGACAAAGCTGTCAGTTTTGTCTCCTCCTGCATTCATTAAAAAACCCTCTCCAATTATTCTTGTCCTGTGTGTGTGTGTGTGTGTGTGTATGCGCCAAACTGAAAAGAAATTCTCACCTATCCCTAAAAGTAAATTTGTGAGGCAGGTGGTTACCTAAGGGTTAGCAAGGAATTCATAACAGAGCTGGGTAAGATTTGAATCAGAGATACCCTCCTTCATGGAGCCGGGGATAACTCATGTACATAGGATATCCCCAGCTCCCAGTAACTTGATATGAGAAGAATGGTGTTAAATTTTTTTGTTGTTCTGTGGTATTTGTATTGCCATTTTTTAAACTTTATTCTAGATTCCAAATACCACAGTAAGTAAAATAATGGCTATTCCAAACATCATCATTTGGTCTTCTCAGATAACCTTTTATGGGACATAATTTCACATACCCCAACATAAGTTGTGGCAGAGAGACTCCAGGTGTCCTAGAAAATATGGAACACTATAAAATATTATTCAGTCTTTACATGAAATTTCCTGGCTCAGGTCTCTAACCTCTAAGGGCATCAACTAGAGGGATGGTCTTTTGCTCATTCTGCATTGACATTACTTGAACAGATATTATAGAGCTCCCATTGATTTCAGTGGGGGCTCTGCAGAACTTCCCATTGAATGGTGCCTATGTATTTTATTCATCCTGTCAATGATGATAAGATAATTTTCATTTCTATACTGTCTCACAGCCAAAACTCTCTAGGTGGTCCACACAGTCTAGATAAAATGTTTTGTCATATTAAAGTCCTCACTCATGCCTGGAGAAAAGGAGAGGGAGAGAATTTGATTAAAAACTATTTCATAATGGGTTTTTCAGTCATATTTATTACTTTGTTGTGAGTGACACAGAGGGCATTCATAAAGGTATAGAAGTGAGTTTGTACAACAGTCTTTAGTAGAGATTTGTAACAGGAAACCTGTTGTTTCTTTATTGGGAGAATAATGCCATGTGTATTTACTAAGAAGTAATTCCCATATTTTTCAGTGGGGATTGCTTCCCTGCCAGAGTCTATATTACTGCTGCCTTATGAATTTCAGTGAAACCTGCTATGTATTTTTTCACCATTTTGTTCCAATAGGTATAAACCAGACAGATGGGAGGGCTTAAACAAGGAGAAGCAAACAAATCTGGTGTGACGGAATTCATCCTCCTTGGCTTCTCTGGCTCTCCATGTTTTCAGCTGTTCATCTTCATCCTCTTTTTTATCATGTACAGCCTAACCATTTTGGGAAATTTCTCTATCATCCTTCTGATCATAACCCATTATTGCTTCCACGTTCCCATGTATTTCTTCCTCTGCAATCTCTCCTTCCTAGAGATATGGTACACCACGGCCTCTATCCCCAAAATTCTTGCCATATTTCTGGGGAGGAGCAGAAGTGTCTCTTTCATGGGCTGCATGCTGCAGATGTACTTCATTTTTTCCTTTGGATGCACAGAACATTTCCTGATAGCAGTCATGGCATACAACCAATATCTGGCCATCTGCTACCCTCTTCATTACAGCACCTTCATGGATGTCAGCCTCTGTAGCAAACTGGCACTGGCCTGTTGGTTGGGTGGATTGCTCATCATCTTCATACCAGCATACATGATCACAAGATTGTCCTTCTGTGGGCACAATGTGATTAACAATTTCTATTGCAACATGAATTCCTGGATAGCCCTCTCCTGCACTGACACCCATTTCCTCGAGATAACAGCTTTTTTCATAGCTATCATTGTCATTGTGGGTTCATGTGTGATAACCCTCCTTTCCTATGTGTACATTGTCTCCACAATCTTACACATCCCCTCCAAAAAGGGTCAACAAAAGGCCTTTTCCACATGTTCCTTCCATCTTGCTGTTGTTATTATTTGGTATGGATCCACCATCTTCCTTTTTGTCAAGACTTTCAGACAGACATCTTTCGAAAGATCCAAAGTTGTAAGCATCTTCAACCTAATTGTGGTGCCGCTGCTGAATCCTTTCATCTATACCCTAAGAAACAAGGAGGTGAGGGAGGTATTGAGGAATGCCTTGCACAAGTGATGGCCAGAATAGAAATTATGTGATGTGAAAGACCAAAGAAATCATTCAAGAAATTTTGGATCAACTGACACAGAATATTCCTGTAGACATTTAGGCAATGAAGAGTGGTTGGAGAGAAGCTTCACTTTTTGCAAATATTTGTTGAAACTCTAGGAAAGGAGTTTCAAAAATTTGTTGAAACTCCAAAGTAGCCTTTCCTTTTTTCTTTCTTTGTTTTGTTTTTTGACATACTAAAGTTTGCTAAACTGATTTGCTAGAGGTAAAGTGGAATGAGTGCAGAATTCATTTCTCCCCATCACTTCCAAACTGGCTGCAACCCTTGTGGAAAACAATTGCTACTGTTTTCACTCTCTCTAAGTGATTTCCCAAGTTGGTAGTACCACCCCTCTGGGTGTGGTGGAAAGATCCAGGGAGGCAGTGAGGAAAATGGGGGCAGCAGGGGGGCATTAGGAAATTATGGATAGTTCCAGGGTTATGAACAACCTATACTTACAAATACACAGACTACCATAAACCCTATATAAATATTTCTAGAAAAAGCCATGGATATCTCTAGGGAACTACACCACATATATGGTGAGGTGTCATCAGTGGCTGTGTCATTCCTAGAGATATTCATGCCTTTTTGTTAGAGATAGAGGTTCACTAGAGATTGTCAAGGCTATGTCTGAAGAACTATGCAACATATTTCTAGGGAACTATGTGATGTATTTAGAGACACCTCATCAATGGCAGCTTACTTCCCTAGAGACATAGTATTCATGGCTTTCTGTTCCACAACATTGACTTGAGCATACCCAAGCCAGTGTGTTTAGGGGTAAGTGTAGATCATTTAATTCCTCTTTCAGTTTTTGCACTTATAATCAGGCCCTCAGCTGCTACAAGGCCATTTATGATGAAAAAAAGAAAACGGCTGTACGAACAACCCTTGAGGCCTACTTCAATGAAGTGACTCCAGTGGTAACACCCCCTCCCCTTTCCAGCAGCACAATCAAATCCTGACTCTCCAGCACCAGGTCCATCTCCATCATCATCAGTTAATGCTAATGTTACCTCAAGAATGTTCTAAACTGTTTTAGGGACTGTTTCTTTTATGCGTTTTTTTTTTACAATATTGTATACCTGTGCACATATACACAAATAATCTCTCTTCAGTAACTGTAGTTACTTTATTATTACTCTATTATTACCATTATTGTAATGTTATATTGTATTTAAGATGTTTTACCAAATATTGAAGTGTTTATTAAGTGCTCTATATGCATAGAAAGGTAAAATAAATGCATATACTAAGACAAACATTTGGCTTACTTTGACTCAGGTAGACTGAATAAAAGCAAGGAAAAAATCTGTCTCTTTTACATCTAATTATTAAAATAAGCAAATATTTTACTTACATAGTGCTCAAAGAAGTCATTGATGTATTGAAACCTTTGCTATTTGTCCTAATACTAAATAAACTGTTTGACCATAGATTTAGAAAGGACAAGAGAAAAGAGATTTTCCTACAATGCATGATTAACTCACAATTTATTTTACAGCTACTCAGAGGGACTTTTGCTTTTTAAGGAACCAAAAGGTTTTCTATGACCTCCCCGTCTCCCTCCATGTTACTCCCACCACATTGTTCTCTCTTCCTTTCATATTATATTTCAACCATGTTGGGGTTCTCAGGATATTCCAGCTGTCACCCAGTTAGCCCAACCTCCCAGACTGGCATACTGGAAGTGTATTGAGTGGCTACCATGCCGTATTTCTAAAACAAACAAAACAAGACAAAATCTCAATCTCGGAAGTCAGTATCTGCCTAGTGTTGATCCCAAGATCCCAGATGTATTAGGATTGCACTGTCAACTGTGCTCATGAATGAGGAGCTGTAAATGTATCACTGAGACCAGCACCAACTTCAGCAAGGAAAAGAAGGAATTTTGCCATTCATGAAAAGGGTGGAGAATTTGGATTCAAACTGTAGATGCAATTTTACTGTTGCTTAATTTACTTTTAATATAATGTATGAAAGGATGTGGTCCTTCATCATCCCAGGCATCTTCTTTTAGTCCATTTTTTTCCTTTACCCACCAGTATGATCTAAGAATAGAGTTTCATTCAACATTAGTACTGAATATGAATTTTCTTCTCAACCTCTGCTGAAACTGTTAGATAATTTCATCTTCTTTTCTGTGACTGTAACCCTGCTCCCCACTTTGCCACTTTCAAATAATGTGGAGAATTTGGGCAGATTTTCTATTTTTTTAATGCAGCTGTTCATTTGCAGTTCTCCAAGTATGGCAATTAAGTTCATATTGTTTTAATGCATACTTTAAAAAAGTTGAAATGCATAATAAAATCTATACTTAAGTAGTATTTTAAGAATACTGTAAAGGAAGGAAGGAAGGAAGGAAGGAAGGAAGGAAGGAAGGAAGGAAGGAAGGACTGGAAAAACAGATCATGAATTGTGTGGGAAAATATGTGAATGTGACATGAGCTAGATATCCACAGTTTGGCTCATCCCTACCTGTGCACACAGCATAATAACAAACACTGATGGAGAAACTTCTTAGTATAAGTATTTGAAGCCAATAAGCCAAATCCATAAATACCAATTGAATTCAAATCTATAGATGCAGGATTGAACTAGGAAAAAATGTAGTACACTTAAGAACCTCAAGTTTTTTAAGGATGTGTGAATCAGCAAAGATAAAATTTATCAAAGTTCACAGAAACTTGTTTTGACCCAAGTCTGTATCAATGGGTTTTTTTCCTTTTCTATTCTTTTTGCATGAACAATTGTGCAGTTTCATGTATATTTTCAGATGTGCACATCTATGAAATGTACAGATTTTGACTGTAGGATGAGGTTGAATGTATGTTTGGTCCAAAAGAAGTAAACTGGATAAATTCTGAATTTTCCATATTTCCCTAAACCCTTTTCATAGTAAAAAAAACCTCCTGCCACAATGGAGAGGAATAATCTATTCATCTGAGCAACACTTCTTAAGCACTATCATATCTTCAGGAAACAAGACAAGGTTCCAACATGAGAAATCCAGACCTATGGAGAAAGTGAATCTGAGCCCTCATGTGCAATCCCATTAAGCACAATTTAACTTTTCTTGACACTAACTCATGGAGATCATGGAGCTTAGCAGATTAATGAAGAACAGTTTTGTTTAATTTTTCTGGGCTGATGCGCTTTTCCCAGTCTTCCACAGCACAGCTGCTGCATGCAAAATTATGCCCTCTGGTGGGGACAGAGCAGGAAGGACTTGAAAGTGTAGTTGGAACCCCCCACAAATATTCCCTACTGTCTCATTTGCTTCTTTAGCTTTCAGTCAGACTGTATTAAGGTCTCATAATACATAGATTAAATCCTCTGCCCACCCCCCCAAGAATGGTTTTCCAAGCCTTTTTTTCTCCCTCCCTGGGAGTTGTCAGTGTGAAAAATAGATGGCAGGTTTTCCATCTACATGAAAAACTTGCATCATCAGGTATCTAGAACAGGAGCTTTCAGCCTCTTTCAGCTTGAAGACCACATTCATAACATCAGGCTGTAAGACTTCAATCCTTTGCATACCTATTTAGGAATAAATCCAAATAAGCTAATTGGGCATTTCTTAGTAATCCCATGTGTAACTGGGATGTAAGACAGGGCTAACAACATGACTTTCTGGATCTGGTACGCTTTGTAATCAGCCCACACACTATTACAGTTCAGGGAAGCTGAACACAAGTTAGGAGATTGCATTCCAAAAAACATTTTTTAGAATGCAGAAGTCCAGACAGTTCTGGCACAACTAGCAATATTTCCTTCTGTACTGTGGGGATCTCTGTCTTTTTTAATTGCTTTGATACACATTGCTCCATTTCTGATCCTATGTCTGCCTGTTATTCCAGAACTTTCAAAGAATGTTGCCATCCATATTCTTTTGACAGAGAGATGAGAAACTGGATAGAACAGCATTTAAGAAGTTTAACAAAGATGAACCTATACTAAACATTTTGCCTAGCGTTTCTTTTACCTCCTTATTCCGCAGATTGTATACAATGGGATTAAACATAGGTGTCAGGACAGTGTAGAGTAAGGAAAGTATTTTGTTTAATTCACTTGACTGTGTTCCTGCAGAAACACCATATGTAATGCCCAGAGTCCCATAGAATGTACTTACTACAATAAGATGTGAGCTACACGTGGAAAAAGCTTTCTTCTTTCCTGAAAACGATGGGATTTTTAGTACAGTCATTACAATATGGACATATGATGTGATGGTCAAAAGGAAAGGAGCCAGTGACACCGCAAGGCTTGCTACAAACATGGCTACTTCTGCTGGGTGGGTATCAGAACACGACAATTTCAACAGTGGTGTTCAGTCACAAAAGAAATGATCGACTTGATTAGGGCCACAGAGTGTTAAAGAAGTGGTGACAATGAAGTTCAGCCCAGCAGCCAACAGAAAACCCAATAACCACGTTGCAGCACTTAACGTGTAGCAGAAGTTCCAGTTCATCACTTTGGCGTAGTGTAGTGGGTTGCAGATGGCAAGGTAACGGTCATATGACATGAGCAGTAAGAGAAAGCATTCCACAGTTCCCAAAGCACAGAACATGTACAGCTGTGTGATACAACCAGCCAGGGAAATTGTTTTCTCCTTTCTCAGTAAATCAACCAGCACCTTAGGGGTGATGTTTGAAGTATACCATACTTCCAGGAATGATAAATTTCCCAGGAAAAAATACATAGGAGTGTGGAGTCTCTTATTAACTGAAACAGCAATTAGAATGAGAGAATTCCCCACCATAGTTATCCCATATATTCCTAAAAATAGAACAAAGAGTAAGAACTGTAGTTTCTGGAGATTCTCAAAGCCAAAGAGTACTAACAGATTGTTCGTTGTTCCATTTTGATGTATAGGGTTGTCCATTATGAGTCCTAATCAGGGGAAGAAAAAAAAAAAGATTCCATTTACAGAAATATAACAACAACAATTACACAGCACAGTCAGTGAAGCACACCTCGCTCGGTCTCTCTCTCTCTCTTTCTGTGAGTGCATGTATGTGCGCATGCACATGCTTTTAAGAAAGTATTCAGGGATGAATGATGAGTTCCCAAGTGGACAAATACTGAGTAAAAAATTGAGTTTTTTTCCCCCATGTATTGATTTTTCCGTTGATTGTGTTACGTTATTTAGCTAGAAAGCATTTTTTGAAAACTTGCTAAAGCTAATGTTATCTTCCTAACGCTAAAGCAACAGATGAAACTTAACTGATATAGAGAGAAAGTGAATAAGGAAGGGAGAAAGAGAATATAAGACCAACATTACCTTTAATTTCTACTGTCAACAATATGCTTTTGAGTTATCCTTTAATGCAGGGGTCTCAAACTTTCGGCCTGCGGGCCAATTGCCAGGATGGATGGGGCATGGGAGAGGGCTCCTGCGGCCTTCAAAGCACCAGCGGTGCCCGGGAGTGACGCGGAATGAGTGGCCCACCACCACCATGGTGGAATACTTGATGTGGCCCAGCCTCACCCAGACTCTACTTCCAGCGGCCCCCAGGTAAGTTGAGTATGAGACCCCTGCTTTAATGGATCCCGTATCATCATTGGGATGGCGACCAGTGACAAGCGGGGTCCCCCAGGGCTCTGTCCTAGGCTGATCCTGGTTAATCTTTCATAAATGACATGGAAGAAGGGTTGAACAGTCTGCTGATCAAATTCGCAGACGATACTAAAACTGGAGCAGTGGCCACAACTGAGGAAAAGGTACTTCAGATCCAAAAGGATCTGGACAGACTATGGAATTGGGCAGAAGACAACAGGATGGCGTTCAATGTGAATAAGTGCAAGGTCTTGCACTTGGGGCATAGGAATAGCTGTCATAAGTACAGGTTAGGTGATAAGTGGCTGGAGAGCAGCACTTGTGAAAGGGACCTCAGGGTACTGGTTGACTGCAGGCTAAACATGAGTCAGCAGTGTGATGCGGTGGTCAAGAGGGCGAACGTCACCCTTGGTTGCATAGCCAGAAGTGTGGCTTCTAGATCAAGAGAGGCATTACTACCACTCTATACAACTCTGGTATGCCTGCAACTGGAGTATTGTGCTCAGTTTTGGGCTCCTCATTACAGAAAGAATATATCCAGGTTGGAGTCAGTGCAGCATAGGGCCACAAGTTTGGTGACCAGTTTGAGGGGATCAGGTATGAGGTGAGACTGAGGGAACCAAGGTTCCATTTGGATGCCAGGAAGCACTTCCTGACAGTTAGGACCCCAAGGGTGTGGAATGGGCTTCCACGAGAGGTCGTTGAGGCCCCTTCAGTGTGGGTGTTCAAAGATAGGCTGGACATGCACATGGTGGGCATGTCATGAACAGAGCCGGCTGGTGGCCCAGGAGGCCCCTTCTGACTCGCTCTGTTTCTATGTTTCTATGTATGTTTGGTTATCTTAATAGGCCTCCTATTTCTTGGATTTGGAAATTACAGTCTTGCCAAATTTGTCTGTCTCACTCAGATCTGACACAGAGAAACTGTAGAACAATTCTTTCCCATCACAGTAACAGTTTTTAAATAGATCTGCCCTTGCTATTCCAACACTCTTGATCACTTTTCCTACTGCTTGGCTGGATTCTGTCTTTCTAATGCCTTTTTGGTGCCACAGCCAAGTCAAACATTCATTATTTATATTGTTTTATTGGATTCTATGTATTTATGGTTGTAAGCCGCCCCAAGGCTTCGGCGAATGGGGTGGCACAGAAGTCCCCTAAATAAATAAATAAATAAATACATACATACATACATACATACATACATAAGTAAAATTATATTTTTACAGGAATACACCAGAGATCATTGTTGTAGAGACAAATGCAGATATTAATCAGGCAGGGAACTACAGGATATGCCAATTGAAGTATGTGACTTGAATGTTATTAATGGCAATATCTGGGAGACAATATGCCTTCTAGAACAGATTGTTGCATTAAGATTATGGAAAAACTTGGACATACATCTTTCCACAGTGATGTGTCTCATGTAAACTCAAGCCAGTCACACTCTTCTACTTTATTTTTTATTGAAATTAGGCAACACCACCATATGGCTGCTAGTAAAAGTGGGTTTCTGAGCAGAATTTGAGGGGCCTGTGGAAAAGGAGGAAGAGAAAAGGTGAAGGAACTGCATGAGGATGTCCTAGGAAGATGTTCCAAGTGTGAGTTATAAAAAGGGAAGGAGGACCTGCTTTTTGAAAGTCTAGGAATCCTTTGTATGACTAAGGATGGTAGAGTTGGAATAATATAACAACAAGTATAGCAATGATGATAAGATTTGTAAAACATTCTCCATCTCCTGGGAATAGCAGTGGTAGCACTTAAGCAAAAGCTTTGATTATTCCACCTCCAGCATGACAAAAGAGGATGACTGGGGAGACAATGGCTTCAGCAACCCTTGTTGTGGAAACCACCCCAAGTTTGAGATGGGATAATGGAGTCACTGAACAAGTACCAGAAGGATACTTTCCAGTATTCAATGCACACCTACTTCAACTGATTTCTTTCTCTGCATGGTCTCTTGTCCATGAAATTGGAAGGTCTGATTAGAAACCCAATTACTCCATCTTAATTCTAGGCCTTGCTGATACTAGAGGTAAAGACACCTAGCTTATTGGCTTTGCCTCATACTGAAGCTTCTTCTGTTTTCAAAGCTGAACTCATTTGCAATGATAAAGAGACTCTAGACACTTCTTGAAGGCCTTTGTTGGAAGGGGGAAAAAATCAGTCACTAGAGTACTGGTGCCCCCATGAGAATGGGTTACCTGAGGAACTGGGTCAGGTAGGTCCTATGATCAGCGCTGATGTTGTGCATTGTCACAAACTGCCCACCTCCAACTTAGCTTCCATGTGCCACACTTTCTGTTTTGTCAGGCCCAAAACAGTTGGGCAAGTTGGAGTACTTTGAACTAGCAAAAATGTCCCACATTATCCTGCCCTTCTATTGCCTTCTAAAACTTCTGAGCTTTACTGTGTTTCTGGATGACTCCTGTGAGAATTCTGACTTTTGTACTGCTTGTAAGTAAGCATAATTTGTGATATTGCACAAAATCATCATTGATCATGGGAAATAGCATTTCACCTTAACTTTCAGTTTCTTTGCTTTGTATATCCTGAGCCAAGCTGAAAGAGACTTGGATATGTGTGTGCATGTGTGTGTGTCCCTGTTTTGCTTTGTTTTTGCAAAATGTACTTAGGAATTGAATTAAAGAAACACATATACCACACAAACACTAAAAAGAAGAGATTAACAAGTATGTTCAGAAAGGCTTACTTCTGAGGAAGCCTGCACAGGCTGCTGACATTCCCTTTCCCTCCCAATCCCATAATTTTCAGCTACCTACTAATCAATGAGAGTGATTCCCTCTGCCTTCCAACTGGTATCTCAGTTAAAAGTTTCCTGCTGCCCCCCTCCAGCGACCAAACACTGAAAGCACCATTGGAGTCCCTCTCAAAACACTGGCTGGGTTCTGGTTTCAGAATAAAACTGAGCAGGCCCACATTAGTCTTCCAGTAGTTGAAGCCTCCAGGTATCACAGGATCAAAAAGGGTTAATAAATGTTGTCCCACTTGTCAGAATTCACAAATAAAGTGCACCAATAGTATTCACCAAATTTTGAAAGTAATATATATTCTGAGGCACAGCCTGGAGTAAAAAGCACATTTTCAGCGCATTTTAACTAGCTGCCTATGTGTGATTTTTTTTATCTGATTGCTCTGAAATTTTGTACCCACGGGGTAGATCATGAATGTCAATTTGCACACTATTACCTCAACAGGTTATCAGTGCTATAAGCACTAAAATGTTAACACAAAAAAAAAAAAAAAACGCAGATTTGTGTTTAATCTCTCTCCTTCACTAAAGGGATTATTTCTATATTTTTATTTATTAAATTTCTTTATTTCTATGTATTAAAACAAAGTTTTCATAATCACATCAAGAATCATGTTCAGGTACACAGTGTTAGTTGCAAGAAATTAAGACATAATGAGATATTCAAGCTAGCATGGTAAAGATTAGTTCCAGTCGTTCATTTCATAAGCAATTTATATTCAAATGTGGTAAAATCAAGAAATACAGTTAGCTACAGTCAAAAGCAGCAACACAAACATTATCTGCAGAAGTGAAGATCAAGCACATCTATGGAATAAGGGCTAAAAGTGTGTTAATAATAATAAAAAGTCTACAACTTTTGGGGCAATTTTATAGTGCAGGAGTATAGTAAAATAAATGGCAAGTGTAGGGACCTGAGACATTGGAAAGGTCTTTATGATACAATCCTTTGTATAACTCAGAAAGCATCCCACCATCTCTAGCACCATAGACATAGTGCCTAAGCAACTATTTGCAGAGAATTTGGGGGTTTGTTTTTTGCATTATCAGTGAAAGCCAACCTAATATAGGTTGCTCTGACAGTAGTTGTATTAAAGGATGCATTACCATATTAAAAATAGAGTTTTGATATAGAGCACCAGAACTAGAGCTTCCAGCCATGCCTGGGACTTATTGCAAGATTGCATTTAAAACAAAGGGCAAAGAAATACCTCCCAGTGAGAAGAAACAATTTCTTGGCAAGTTTTTACATGCCTACAGTATGACATGTCAGTTATCCTTTGGTGCAAGGACCAAGTGATTCTATCTATCTCTGATTCGATGGCTACATCCAATGGAAGAATATTATTGGACTGCTACATTTTTTGGACAGAATAATGATAAATAGTGTGGGGCAGCATTGGACCAATTTCTCAGAGCTGTTGAAGCTTTACTCAGCAACTTCTTTAGAGTATTTTTCACCTCTTTGTTCCTCAGACTGTATACAATAGGGTTCAGCATAGGTGTCAGGACAGTATAGAATAAGGAAAGCATTTTGTTTAATTCTACTGATTCTGTCCCAATAGATACTGCATATGTAATGCCCAGAGTCCCATAGAATGTACTTACTACAATGAGATGGGAGCTACAAGTGGAAAATGCTTTCTTCTTTCCAGAGGACGAAGGAATGTTCAAGATGGTGAATAAAATATAGCTGTATGAAGTGATGGTCAAGAGGAAAGGAGCCAGTGACACCGCAAAGCATGCTACAAAAATGGCTACTTCTGCTGGGTGGGTATCAGAACACGACAATTTCAACAGTGGTGTTAAGTCACAAAAGAAATGATCGACTTGATTAGGGCCACAGAGTGTTAAAGAAGTGGTGACAATGAAGTTCAGCCCAGCAGCCAACAGAAAACCCAATAACCACGTTGCAGCACTTAATGTATAGCAGAAGTTCCAGTTCATCACTTTGGCGTAGTGTAGTGGGTTGCAGATGGCAAGGTAACGGTCATATGACATGAGCAGTAAGAGAAAGCATTCCACAGTTCCCAGGGCACAGAACACGTACAGCTGTGTGATACAACCAACCAGGGAAATGGTTTTCTCCTTCTTCAGTAAGTCCATCAGCATTTTGGGGGTGATGTTTGATGTATACCATACTTCCAGGAATGATAAATTTCCCAGGAAAAAATACATAGGAGTGTGGAGTCTCTTATCAACTGAAACAGCAATTAGAATGAGAGAATTCCCCACCATTGTTATTGCATAAATTCCTAAAAGCAACCAGAAAAGCAAGAGCTGTATTTCCCGGAGATTTCCAAAGCCAAGGAATATTAATTGATTCACTGTTCTGTTTCTATATATAAAATTTTCCATTTGATAGTCCTAATATGGAGAGGGAAAATATTCTTTTAAAACCAATGCAAATATGCATACTTAGTTTAAGTTAATTGCAGTGATCTGAAAACAACAATACATTAGGAACAGCAGATTTCTCATTCTAAAGCTCATATGTGTCTCTACATAGACATGTATGCAATACATTTCCAAAATGGCAGTTGAAGGAAGCAAATGAATGCATGTCCTTCTATTTTTAATTTATTTTGATATCTTCAAATAGTTAAGTTTTTTCCCCATAAGAATATGTTGTAGATTATGGTTGAAATAATCTGAACTGAACTATGAACTGATCTGAGTGTAAGAAACAATGAGAAAGATAGAATATGGAATACCTTTTTTATATTACCTTCCTTTTCTTTTCTTTTCTTTTCTTTTCTTTTCTTTTCTTTTCTTTTCTTTTCTTGCAAAAGTCCTTGCAATTTTTAGTTTTTCTCTGATGAGTGTAGTTTAATCTATTGCCATGAAGTGTGATCTGTTTTTGGATTCATACATCATATTGCTGACATATTTGCCTGACTCATTCAAATCTGGGAACAAAGGAACATAATTTTGCAAAACTTCCCTTTGAAATAATGACTTAAACTATGTCCCTTCTTAATTTTCTGCTACCCCTGATAAGTGTTCTTGTTAGCTGGATTATATAAGTGCTGTATTTATTTATTTTTCCATGTGACTACCAGTCCCTGCTTTACTGCACTTAAAAAGGCAGCTCCAGAGATTATTACTAAAATAAGGGGTATAAATAAAATAGGACACATGGGAATGTGACCTTTGAAACATGTGGCTTGAATGTGTTTTAATTGTGGTTCTTGTAAAGTAATGGATAGCATGATGGCTTTAAATTAGGGGAAAATATTCCTCATTCTGTGACTTTAGGTCAATTACACACCAGCATATATTTCCCAGGATTGCAAATAAGAAATTGATGTGACTTAATGTAGTCACGACTAATGTTTCATATAGAAAATAACTACATGGTTAAGATGACCAATACAGAATTTGAGCATCTACATTGCAGAAATGATTAATAAGACCAGTGATGGAGTAGAACTTTATTGAGGAATCACATTATTATCAAAAATAATGTGCAAATATTCTGCATGCTTCGACACAGACTTCATAGTGTGTTGAAGGCTGAATTATTTGATCCATGTACATACATACCACCACCACTAAAACCAAATTGATGAATTTCAGAAATTTCATATTTTATTTTATTTTTATTATTACTTTGTATGCCACCCACTAATCCAGAAGGATTCTAAGTGTGCAGGTTTCCATTCTCTGAGACACTGCAAAGGAAATTCTGAGTCCCCAGAAGCATGATGCTTGCTTCAAATTCACTGGTTTTTGTCCTACAACCTTTTCCCAAAGGTGAGTGTTGTACACTTCAAATAACCTGGCACCTAACAATTTAGGTCCTTAAAGGTAAACACAATAACTTCAGATTGGGTTGGGAAATGCTCCAGAACAATTTGAATGCAACCCCTATGGGCCCATTACAGGAGGGTACTAAGTGTGCTTTTGGGTGGAGGGGGATATTGCTGTTGGTCTGCCAGCCTTCACTGCATAGGGGGATGGCAGTAACCACTCCCCTGTCTCTCTCCTCCTTCTCCATGATTCTTTGTGAGGAGGCAGAAGGAGGTCTCACTCTTGCTCTTGCTCTCAGTCTCTCCCCATTTGTTCTTCCTTGTTCATTCACACTTGCACCTAGCTAACAGGTTTTTTCAGAAATGTCTCTGCACAATTCTCCTACCAACTCTTCCAACTTCCACATTTGTATTTGCTCGTTCCGCAAAAGCACATATACAGCTAAGCTGCTTTCATTGTAATGTGTCCTAACTAGTGAGAAAGGGATTTTGCATGAATATTGAGAATGCAAAAGACTCTCTACAGTAGTCCCTCCCACAGCTTGTATCATTGCACCTGAATATATTAGAATGCTCCCTTTCTTTTTCTCTGAAATAAAACAAGGGTTGTTGTTTTATAGATTATAGCAACATGAAAGTTTTATGACCATCAAAATAGACATTTTAGGACAATATTTGATTATTGTTTCTGAAGCCATGCCTGAATGCCAATTGTAAGACTTAAAAGTAGAAATATTCAGTCCCTTTCAAGCAACCAAAGAAATACAACTGTGGTAGGCAGCCATTAACATAAGTATTTGTGTCCTAGTCAGAATGCCAGACTGTGTCCTTAGAAGGAGGTTGAGCTCTGTCTACAAATTGGAGTGTTTTCCTGTGATGCATATGGATGTGTAGAGGTGCTGTTTAGCTGTGACCAGACCTATGAGCAGGTTCCCAGCAAGTAGTGTGATGTAGATAACAGAAGTTTCAGGGGACTATTGAGATCCCAAAATTACAAGACAAAGAATGTAGGGGCTTCTATTTGTTGCTTCAGTTAGTGAAATTAGTTGTTGTTGCCCCTTTCCTCATTTGTTTAGGACTCCATAAGTCAATTGTTCATATGACGATTTCTATATAATCCAAAACTGAACTTCATCAGCAATGTGCAGTTGCTATCTATGAGTCTTTATTAGGGAAGATATACTTTTCTTCATAATTTCGTCCCTTTCAGTCTGTTTAGCTAACATGCAACATCTGTATGAAAAAAGATAGGATACAGTTCAACATAACGGAACTGGAGACGGGTCTATGCGATCCAGCCAAGTGAACAGGACACACAGTGATCTTCATACCCTTGAGACATTAAAAATACAGGTTCTCCTATCAGATCTTATGTCCCTCTCTGATTCTCAGTGGTTGGAATTGCACATTAATTTCAGATTAGTATTTAATGCAGCAAAGTTGTTACAAGATAAATATTAACCACAGTAGAATAGTTCTACATTCAGAATGATGGATCAAACCTGAGGCTTATCTGACCACAAATGCTGCTGTATCAATGGTCAAATAGATTACTATGAGTAACAGACTCAGGAATTTGAAACCGCTGCCATGATGACTAGAAGAGATCAATAGACTTATGCTTCCAGAAATAATGCATCTAACAAAGACACACACACACACACACAAAAGTTCTTAGGCAAAATCAACATAGATTTTACTAGAGAAATGAAAGCAATAAAAAGACAAATGCTTAGAATCATCCAGGAAACTATCTTTTCTCTTTGAGTTGTTTCCTACAGTTGAGATCAGGTCTTAAAAG